AAGATAGAAAACTTGGGGGCATCAAAAATGTTGATGATGGTGGTGCAGGTCTATAATCCCAGGTACTCTGAGAGGCAGAGGCAGGAGGATTGCAAGTTCAAGGCCAGCTCAGGCAAAGTTAGGGAGACTCTATCTAAAAAACAAAATAAAAACAAAAGGGCTGGGGGTGTGGCTTAAGTGGTAAAGCACTTGCCTAGCAAGCAAGAGACCTGAGTTCAATCCCCAGTACTGAGCTAAAAAAAAAAAAAAAAAAAAAAGCCTACAATGGATTGAAAAATCAAATATCTAAAAATTTGAGATCAGGAAAATCACTGTTTGAAGCCAGCCAGAGGCTTGTGAGACACTATCTGAAAAATACCCAACATAGAAAAACAGAGCTGATGGAGTGGCTCAAGGTGTAGGCCCTGAGTTCAAACTCCAGTACCTCAAAAGAAAAAAAAAGCCAGTGTGTTGTATATGACCACAATCTCAGCACTGAGGGATGATGGGTTCAAGGTCAGCTGGGACCACATAGTAAGATCCTTTCTCAAAAAAACAGTAAATAAACAAAAATGAACAAGGAACTCAGTGATCATTATTTTGGGGCATTAGGGCATTAACTCAGTTCTTTGAAAATTAGTGAGGGCAACAAAATTATGCATATATCCCACCTCTGGTACAGACTATACCTTTAAGAAAGCAGATAATTAAAAAAGAAGGTGGCTTTTTTTTTTTTTAGTGGGAATGGGATTTGAACTCAGGGCTTCACACTTGGAAAGCAAGCGCTCTACTGTTTGAGCCACTCCTCCAGTCCGTTTTGCTCTGGTTATTTTGGAGATGGGGTCTTGTGAACTATTTGCCTGGATTGGCCTTGAGCCACAATCCTCATTGCCCTCCTGATCTTGGTCTCCCAAGTAGCTAAGATTATAGTGTGAGCCATCCGTGCCTAGCTAAGAAGGCTTCTTTATAGAAGAATTCCAGTTAATAAATACAGCTGGGGGGTGGGATTGTGATTAAAGTATTAGAGCAGCACCTGCCTGGCAAGTGTGAGACCCTGAGTTCAAATGCCTGTACCACCAAAAAAAAAAAAAAAAAGTTTACAAACTAGAAGCAGGAGCTGGTGGCTTGGCTAAAGAGGTAATGCATCTGCCTAGCAAGCAGAAGGTCCTGAGTTCAAATCCTAGTACTGACTAGATAAATAAATGCAACAGGAATAGTGGAATTATAAAATTGCTACTTTGCCATCCCTGGTGAGGACATGGCTCTAGGCAGCAATCAAAGCATGATGGGAAACATTAGGGACCCTCAGAGTAACTAATCACCAACAAACAGTCTGGGCAGCCAAACACCACACCTCATGACATGGTCTCACGAGGTGCACAGCTGCACTCAGTTCTTGCCAGCTAACCAAGTAAACCCTCAGTTTATGGGAAATCCAGGTGTCAGAGGAACAAGATAAAGACACCTTGAGGAGATAGTCAAGTCCAGTGTAACTTTCATAGGGTAGCTAAGTTGGTTTCTTTAAAAGATTAATGACTTGAAAAAGGCCAAGGAAGGAAATTGTCATATAAAAAGGAGAGATTTAAGTGACATGACAACCAAAGCAGACTAAACTAAAAAGGACCACACTGGCTGCTGTGTTAGGAATAGACAGAGAAGGCCAAAGATAAAAGGCAGGGAGATCAACAAAATTAAAGATAAGGGCAGAACAGGTTCTGCCTGGAATTGAGGTGGGGTGAGAGGGAGAGTATGGGAGCGGGGTAGGGGGAGAAATGACCCAACAGTGTATGCACATGTGAATAAATGAATAATGATAATTTTTTTAAAAGGCAGGGAGAAAGGCTGGGATGTAGTTATTGGTATAGTGCTTGTGCAGAACATGAGGCCCTGGATTCAATTACAGCATCGCGCACACACAGGCACACGCACACACACGCACACACAGGCACACGCACACACGCACACGCACACACAGCTGTTACAAAATTCCAGGTGAAATTTTGGATTAGGATGATAGCAAAATGGTGATTAGTTTCTGGATATATTTTGAAAGTAACTAGTAGATGGGATTTTCTAATGGGTAGCTAAGATGTGGTTTCAGAGAAAAAAGTCCAGGATGACTACCAGCTTTGGGTCAAAGGAGCTGGAACAATGGAGTTGCCATTTACAGAAACCTGGAAGACTGAGGGAGGAGCAGACTTGTGGAGGATTGGGAGGAGCTCTGTTCTGCACTCTGTGCTCATCCTGATGGGCCCTTTGAGTGTCCAGCACAGGGGGGCAGTGAGACGTGTGTCTGCAGTATTGAGGGGAAGACAGGAAGCGCACACTTGGGTAAAAGAATAAAGGGAGTGGGTGAGAGTCAGCAGCTGGAGCAAGGGGGCCTGTAGGTCTCCTGGAAGCCAGGAGAAGGAGAAGGATCTGCATTGTCAGACGCTCCCGGCAGGTCAAGAAAAGGCAGGGCACACTTGACCTTCGGATTTTGTGATGTGGAGATCACTGGTCCACTTGATAAGCACAGCTCCCAGGAGCTGACGGGAGTAGGAAAGAAGTTACCAGATGGATAGCGCTCAGGAGCTCGGAATGGAAGGAGAGCTCGAGAGCTGCTGGTGGCCGGTGCCCTTGGGAGTGGAGTATAGCTTTGTGTGAGAATCAGTTCTGCCTTTCAGAAAGTATTTTTGACAAGTTTTTGCCCCAACTTTTTATTTTGGGCAAATGCCAAATCTCAGAAAGATGGATACTATCTGTACGTCACCTGGTGTAATCCATGGGTAACATTTTGACACGTATGTTTCTCCTTCATCAGTATAAATAAACAAATATATAATTATCATATTTTTATTTTATTTTATCATTTTTACATTTACTCACATGTATATTACATTGTTTGGGGCACCTTCCCCCAATCCTCCTTCTGGGCAGAACCTGTTCTGCCCTCTTGTTCTCTGATTTTGTTGAAGACATAAGAGGTAATAAGAAAGACAGTGTTTTTGCTAGCTTGAGATAAAGATAGGTACACAGAGAGATTCCTAGCGTTGCTTCCATGCACACGTGTATTGCAACCCACATTGGTTCATCTGTACCTGACCTCTTCAGTATTTCCTGGTCACCTTCCCATAGTGGCCTCTGCTAGGTTAATATTACTATATTCACTCCTCTACAGTGAGCACATCAACCACATTCAAGTTTTAGGTTTCCTTCCCTGTCCCTATTCCTCCCGTGTGCAGTTTCCCTTAGCGTGTGACCCATGCCCAATAATATTACTGCATTTGTTTTAGGTCTATAATCCGCAAATGGGGGAGAATATGTGATTTTTGGCCTTCTGAGCCTAACTTTGCTTAAAATGATACATTTTTTATTTTTATTTGTTTATTTGAGATAGGATCTTAGTATGTAGCCTAGACTGGCCTCAAACTCAGATCTTCCTACCTCAGCCTCCCACGTGCTGGCATTACAGACATGTGGTACATCTGCCTTTAAGTGTGAATATATTTCTGTTTTTTCTTGAAAATCCTAGACATAAAGTTTACCGTATTCTACAAATACAGACGTTCTTCCATATAAATACAGTACTATTATCATATTCGGTGCAATTAATATTGATATATGTATCAAATAGCTCATATTAAAACTGGATATTGCCATTTTTGTAGATATCAAAGAGGCAGTGAGATGTATGTCTGGAGTGTTAAGAGGAAGGTAGGTGTACACTTGGGAGTCCTTGCAGGGAAGAGATATTTATTTTTTTGGCGGCACTGGGGTTTGAACTCAGGACCTCATACTTGCTAGGCAAGTGTTCTTACTGCCTGAGCCACTCCACCAGCTCAGGAAGTGACATTTAAAGCCAAGAAACGAGGTCCAGCATCCAATCAAAGGTCACCTATTACTTTTGGTTGTCAGTTGTTGGGAGATGTTTTTGTAGAATGGGAGAAAAGCAGCATATTTGTCTGATTTTTTTTTTTTTTTTTTTGTGGTACTGGGGTCAAACCCAGGACCTGGTACATGCTAGGCAAACACTCAGCCACTGACCTCTGACCTCTGTGCCCTGTCTGTTGATTTTAAAAACCAGTGTGAAACTGAGGATGCAGAAGAGGTTGGGGGAAGGGCTTTCCAGGGATAAACTTGAGACATTGGGTAAGGATGAATATAGCCATAGTGGGGGTGACCTTTGCTGCCAGTGTGGATGGTTTGTCCCAAGCAGTAGAGAAGACAGAGCCTCTTGAGCAGGCAAGGGTAATCCTGGAGCATCATCATGGAGGAAATTCTCTTTATTGTGTTTATTGGTGAAATAGGCACAAGGGTGATCAACTGAGAGGAAGGAAAGAGGAGGTGTTACAGGTGTAAGAAAAGAGGACATGATGTCTGAATCATCTTTACTCTCAGGCGTGTGTTAGCATACTACATACACAGAGACTTTCTCAGGGGTGCACATTTGTGGATAGTCTCAGGGGAGCCTCTTATAGACCCTCAGCTTGAGTACATGCCCTTCCCTGGGCTTCCACCTCAAAAAACAAGACAGACCCTCACACACCCCAAATTGGAATGAATGATATCACCCTCAGCCTGTCCCTGCTTCTTGTCTGAGCATTGATTTAACTATTCCTTTTTTTGGGGGGAGGGGAGTGGTACTGGGGTTTGAACCAGGGCCTTTATCCTGAGGCACTCTTCCAGCCTTTTTTTGTGAAAAGTTTTTTCAAGGTAGGGTCTTGCAAACTATTTGCTTGGGCTGACTTCAAACCACGATCCTCCTGAGAAGCTGGGATTACAGGTATGAGCCACTGGTGCCCAGCTCCGGCTTCCTTCTTAAAATAATAATAAAAAACCCATGAAACAATTACTTTCTGGACACAGAATACACTTCTTGCAACCCAGGTTCCCATAGCTGATGTCTTGCAGGGGATCACCACTGCCTTGTTTCTGATTTTATTCTTTCCAGTGTGATTCTGCTTCATTTCCTCCCTCAGCTGTATTTCCCCTCTCTTTCTGCCTCTCCATTGATCACTGACTTTTCCTCTGGTTTTTAGGCTTGGTCACGGTGGCAGGAACAGCTCTTGCACAGGCAGAGGGAGAGGGAGAAGGTGGTCTCTGCCGTGCGACACCATCAGCAGTGGCAAAAACATAGGTCCCTGAAGGCTTGGCTTGAATACCTGCATGCCCGCAGAGCGAAGACTCAGCAGAACGGTGAGTAGGAGACAGGCTGGGTCCAACTTCTGTCCTCCCTGCTGCCAGTGGTACTGCGTGAGGAAGAAATGCAGCCATGTCATGCTATAAACTTTGGAGAAAGGAGATTGAGGAGAAAAACACTTCATTCTTGATTCACACTTACCTCCTCCTGGCCTTTACTTCTATGCATGTACTTTATTCAAATGTAGGTTTAATTATGGTGATTAATGCACATATTTTATTTCAAGTAGGGCTGTCCATATTGTAATTAATGTGACAACTACAGTTCTGTGTTGCGCTTTTTTTAAACACTGTTCTGTGTCTTCATGCATCATAAATGTTACTTTTTCCTAATGTTTTTTTTTCTTTAGGAGCAACTCTTGGATGGTAGTTTTTTTTATTGTTTTGGCAGGATTGGGATTTGAACTTAAGAGCTTCATGCTTGCAAGACAGGCACTGTACTTCTTGAGCCCCATCGTCCAACCCATAAATGTTATTTTTTAATTATTTTATATTTTCTATTTGGCAGTACTGGGGTTTGAACTCGGAGCCTCATGCTTGCTAGGCAGGCGCTCTTACCACTTGAGCCATTCCACCAGCCCTTTTTTGTGATGGGGTTTTTTGAAATAGGGTCTCGAATTTGCCCAAGGCTGGCTTTGAACCGTGATCCTCCTGACCTCTGCCTCCTGAGTAGCTAGGATTATAGGTGTGAGCCACCAGTGCCTAGCTATTTTTTTATTTTGTCTTATAGGATGACTTCCCTGAATTGACTTAGCCATTCTCGTATTGATAGATACTTGGATTGTTTCTTACTGGCCTCAGTTATGCAAATAGATGAGATTCATGATGTCAGGTTTTTTGGGATGCTATTTTTATGATTTAGCTTCCTAAATCAGAAGTAATAGCACATAGGAGCGTGATCATCAGTGCACTGTACTTGAGCTTTCACAGAAGTGAGTCAAGCACTGTGCTGTCCCTGGGTTAGATCGTTGGCTTTCTCTCTGTAGAACTCTCCTATGCTGCCACCGCTGTCTCTTCTGAGACTTTTACTGCGTCTGTCTGAGAACAGTTACAGTGAGCAGGTAGTGGCTGTCTGGCGTGATGAACCACAGACTAGCACCCACCTTCAGCTGTAGCATTTGAATTCCAGGCCTGGCTGCCTGCTAGTTCCTGGCTTCAGCTCACCAGGCCATCAGCTGAGTAGGGTTGAAAGGAGATGCAGCTGTCAGCTGGGATCAGCCAGACACTCAAGAGAGCCTTGCCAGTGTGGCGACCAAGATTACGTGTCATTGTCTCAGTCCCCAAGTCTTGTCCAGGAGGCAGCTCTGTAGAGGCAGGAGTAAAAGAGGGTCCTCTCTGAATGCATCAGTTGGTGACCAGAAGCCTGGCCCTTGGATAGAACTGATTTTATTGTACCCTCCTCCCTAAAGTCACAGGCCTTTTTCCTTCTCTTGGAGAGAAGGCAGATTGGTGGCTCAGGGATTCCTAATGATCTCTAGTGTCAAACTTTTTTTTTTTTTTTTTTTGGGCTGAGAATCAAACCCAGGGCCTTGAATATGCTAGGCACATGCTCTATCAGTGAGCTATACTTCAAGCCTTATTAATGAGGTCCAGCTCATCTTACAGAGGCTTCCAGCTCATCTCCCCTTGGTGGGTGTGTTGGGGGGGCAGCACCTAAGCAGTTTCTCTGTTGCAGAGATGGCGGCGCGATTCCACCGTGTCACCGTGCTCCAGATACACTTCTGTGACTGGCAGTGGGCCTGGGAGCGGAGGCAGAGCTTGGCTGCCCAGCAGGCTCTGGTGGAGGAGCTGGCCAGGAAGATGGTGCTGCGCAGGGCCTTGACACACTGGAAACACTGTATCCTTGTCAGCCACCCGGGCCTGTCCACCCCTCAGCCAGAGCAATCCAAGCAATTCAAGACAGCCTTGCTTTGTTGACTTCATTTTTTGTTTTTGTTGTTTAATTTAGAATGTGCATACAAGTAGTACTTACAACATAGAGTTTAATGAAAAACAGTAAAATAAACACCTGTGTGCCTACCACCCAACTTAAAAAAATAGAAGGTTGCTAGCGTCCCCGTCTGCACCTCCCCGTACAAACCCCTTTCTGCCCCATTTCTATTATTGTTTAATTGCTTTTCTGTACTCACTAGATGATGGAAATAGTGACAAGTGTCTGTCCCTCAGTGACACCATCACTATAATCATAGCTTCCATCTACTGAGCTTTCTCTCTGTGCACATTATGCCCCATCCTTTTTGTAGTCCTGTGAAACAGGCGACCCTGTGTCCATCATGGGTGAGGAAACAGGTTCATTGGCCCGAATCATGGCACGGCACGGGCAGAACGTAGGCCTTTGTTCCTGTGCCCACGCTTTTAATCATTGCCCTCATCTGTGCCCAGTGTGAGGGTTTGGATTGCCTCTCATGTTCATCCATGCATTCATTTGTTCAGCACAGTCTCAATTCATCTTAAACTCCTGCTTAAGTTCCTGTATGTGGGGAAACACAAAGACTCACAGTATTCGTTGTCAGGTGGGAAAGTAGACATGAAAGCAGGTTTTGACTGTGGTTTAATAGGTGCTGTCATAAAGATTTGTATCAAAGCAGCTGTGGTGGCATAGGTCTGTAATCCCAGCACTCAGAGGCTGAGGCAGGAGGATTTTGAGTTTGAGGCTATCTTGTCTCAAAAAAAAAAAAAGTGTGTGTGAGGGGGGCCCAAATGGTAGAGTGCTTGTGAGGCCCTAAGTTCAAACTTCAGTACCACCAAAAACAAAAAAAAGGCCAGCCACACTGGCTACTCAGGAAGTGGAGATAGGGAGGATCTTGGTTTGAGGCCAGCCAAGGCAAAAAGTTCATGAGACCCCCATCTCAAAAAACAGCTGGGCACAGTGGTGCATGCCTGTCCTCCCCAGCTACATGGGAAGTGTAAATAGGAGGATCTCAGTTCAGGCTGCCCTGGTCATAAAGCAAGACCCTATCTCAAAAATATCCAATTTTGCCAGACTCTGGTGGCTCATTCCTATAATCCCAGCTATTCAGGAGGCAGAGATCAGGAGGATCGCTGTTCCAAGCCATCTCAGGCAAATAGTTCACAAGACCCTATCTGGAAAAAAACCATCATAAAAAAGGGCTGGTGGAGTGGCTCAAATGGTAAGAGCGCCTGCCTAGCAAGCATGAGACCCTGAGATCAAATCCCAGTACTGCCAAAAAAAAAAACCCCAGAAAACAAAGCAGTTCCAAAGCAGCTGGTGGAGTGACTCAAGTGAGAGAACGCCTGCCTAGCAAGCATGAGGCCCTGAGTTCAAACCTCAGTACCACCAAAGGGGAGTTAAAAAAAATTTATCAGAGCCACTGGAGATTGAGGCAAGGAAGTAATGCTTGAGCAGAATGTAAATCTTAGGATGGCGAGTTCTTCCAGCAGGGAGGCTGAGGGCATTTCACGTGGAAGGGATGACATTCATAGGTTCACAAGTGAGGAAAAACATTCAAGTGGTGAGTTACTGGTGGGAGGATTGATGCAGACTGGGGACCAGCCCAGAGAGCCCTTGTGTGCAGCACTCAGGAACTTACTGTTTTCCTGAAGGCTGGCACTGGGGAGCTTCTGGGGTTTACATGAAGAGAGCAGTTCAGGTAGACTGTTACATATGTGTATGTATGTGTGGGTGTATATGTGTGTGTGCATGCATGCGTGTGTGTGGTACTGGGATTTGAACTCAGGGCCTTGTGCTTGCTAGGCAGGCGCTCTACCACTTGAGCCACTCTGCCAGGCCAGATCCATGCTTTAGAAAGGAAGTGCTAGGTTAGAGCAGAGGAGAGTGGTTTGCCCAGTGAGACTTGCTGTTGGGGAGTCATGAGTACCATTCTTGAGTTCAGGTGAACTGCAGGGGATGGAGAGAACAGAGGTTCAGGAGGAGAGCAGATGGCTTAGTGGCTGAGTACGTGGGGATGCGGGAGGGAATAGAGTAAAAATAATTTTGAGGGTTTTAGTACCAGCATCTGACTGGATGGTGATCCCAGAACAGAATGTGGAGAAGGAGCAAATTGTGCTTGTGATACAGTGATTTGAAATGCTTACCAAAATTGGTGGCAACTTATCTCAGGTACTTTTTGTCTTTATCTAATGAGCGTCTGTGAAGAAGGAGGCAAGGCCAGCTGTTTGATAACTCCCATGGCTCCCCTTTACTTCCCTGCATCACCAGGAGACAGAGGTGGACATCGCCCACTTGGCAGGCCTGTTACCCTAACAGTCACAACCCTTCGGGTGGGTCATGGGGAACAAATGCGCTGCACGGGGGAGGGAGCCTGGTTGCAACTGGAGGCCTTAACTCCTGAAGTTGTGCTGCTGTGTGCAGAGGAAGCTGCCCAGTGCCAGGCAGCGGAAGAGCACCACCGACTCAGCCTGCTGGTAAGAGCTCCGTGTCCTAGCTCGGCTCCACTTGGGGACCCTGACCTCTATCACCTTGGCTTCTGAGTGCTGCCAGTCCTGGCTTAGCTTCAGTCACAAAGCCTCCATTAGTTGTCTGTGTCCCTGTTTGCATTTTGAATCAGTGAAGGTAATGATGTGGGGTCAGAGGGATTTGAAGCCATGAAGGAGCCAGAGAGGTAGTCAGATCCTGGGGTTTTGTACAGGATGGGGCCCTTTTGAGTGGCAGAAACCTAATCTGTATCATTGATCAGGTCAGGGTGTTGAGCTTGAAGCAAGGTCAGGACAGTTGGTTCCTGTTCTACCGTCACCACATGAGGTGATCACCAAAGACTCTTAGAAGCCTCTGGGACTCCATACAACACAATATGAAAACTCCCTAACCTATTCTCTTCTCTTCACTTTAGGGCAGTGGGGCAAACAGGCTTTGCGTAAGTCAGATGTGAGGCATTTGTGATGGAGCTGGAGCCAGGCCTGACTGTCCTGCCCCGATCCCAAGCCCCCTACTTGCCCAAGGGTTCCTTCTAGTCCACTCTAGCAAAGCTGCATTTATATTAATTTATGCACTGCCCTTGCATGGTAAAAAACAACAGACAAAAAACACCACCGTAGGCAAAAAGTCTGGTGTGTGTGTGTGTGTGTGTGTGTGTGTGTGTGCTTGGGATCGAATGCAGGGCCTTGTGCATGTGAGGCAAGTGCTCTACCAGATGCACCCCAGGGCCCTCCCATCTCTACATCTCTATCTCTGTCTGTCTGTCTGTCTATATATTTTTTGAGAGACAAAGGCTGTTTGGTCTTTGTACAACTCTTTTTTATCTGAGTCATAGGAGCATGGTTCAAGTGGTAGAGCGCCTAGCTAGCAAGCATGAGGCCCTGAATTCAAACCCCAGTACTGCCCAAAAAAAAAAGTTGGTTTGTCTGGATCATAGGGAGCCTCCTTGTCACAGGTGAGAGCGTTTGTTGTGTGGTATCGGTGGATAGTAGGAAGTTGCTCAATCAGTATTAAGGGCTTGCTGTGCGGGCTGACTTGTATTAGGCTCCCCAATTTATTTTCAGAGCAAAGAAAATCTCTAAGGGAACAGAGTGGCCCTGAGTGGCCCTCACTGAACTTTTGACCTTCCCAAGTACCTGCAGGCACTGCCTTCTGTTGTCCACACTCAGAGTCCCCGCTTGCCAGGCAGATGCTGTACAAGTCACTTGAGCCATGCCCCCAACCCAAGTTTACAGATTTTGCTTCTTTGTAATTACTGTATCTTTTCTTTGCATAGCATTTTTGCTTTAGAGCCCTAAAAGACAATGTGACCCGAGCCCACTTCCAGCGGATCAGAAAGAATCTGGCTCACCTGCAGCATGACACCACGGTGAGGGCTGTCTTCTAATAGTCATTCTCTCTTTGTAACCTTTGTGCTCAGAGATTTAAATTTTAAGACTCCAAAACTTTAATGGCTTTACTTTGGGAATCTGTACCTGCTATTAGGGCTGGTGGAGTGGCTCAAGTGGTAGAGCACCTACCTACCAAGTATGAGACCCGGAGTTCAAACCCCAGTACCACTAAAAAAAAAAAAAGAAGGAATATGTATTTGCTAATAGAGAAACTCTTATTTTAGCTTTGTGCAATCCCCATTTTTATCCATTTGCTGAGAAAATTAATAGTTGGCTCAGAGTCAGAGACCATAAATTTTAACCCTGCTGTAGGGAATATGGTAATGCAAACACATCTTAGGTCTTCACTACAGGAGGCTGTGCTTGTGTTTCTGTTACAAGTCTCTTTTCTTTATCTGAGAGCAACAACTGTCTCTCTTCATAGATTTTGTTTCTGGGTATAGGAGGGGGATAGGTTGCAGTGGTAGTGTTGTTATGTTGTGAAAATGTTCAAACATATAGAAAAATAGAGTAGTGTGACAAACATCTATATATTCTTTAACCTCAACATGTATTACTATTTATTTCAGGGACTTGTATGTGTGTGTGTTAGTGGGATTTGAACTCAGGGCCTCAAGCTTGCTAGGCAAGCACTCTACCACTTGAACCATGCCCCTAACCCTTTCTGCTTGAGTTGTTTTTCAGGTAGGGTCTCCACTTTTGCCTGGACCAGCCTTACATGTGATCCTCCAACTTTGGAATCCTGAAGCCCAACCTCTGCCTCAGTTATTTTTCCCCAAATTGCATCAAAGTAAATTATAAACAACATGACACTGCACCTAAACATTTCAGTGTGCATCACCCCAAAATGAGGATGGTCTGTTACATAGCCACCATGTCGTTACTGTCTCTTAACAAAATTAACAGCAATTTCTTTACATTATCCAACGTCCAGTCCATATTCACATTGCCACAGTTGTCCCAAAATGTCTGTTAGCTGTTTTTCAAAACCAGGATTGAATTAAGTATCGTTCGCTCCATTTGGTTATAACATCCCTCCTTTTTTATTATTATTTGAGACAGAATCTCTCGAAGTAGCTCAGGCTGGCCTCGAACTTGTAATCCTTCTTCCTCAGCCTCCTGAGTGCTGAGATCACAGATGCGTGCCCCCACACCTGGCGGGTAACTGTGTCTCTTAAAACTTTTGAAGTAAATCAGCTTCTTCCCCACCCTGTTTCTCTTTCACGTACGTTAATTACTTACTTTCTTTTTTTAATATGGAACGCTTCACCAATTTGCGTGTCATTCTTTGCGCAGGGGCCGCGCTAGTCTTCTCTGTATCGTTCCAATTTTAGTATATGTGCTGCCGAAGCGAGCAGCTACTTACTTTTTAAATTGTGGCAAAGCACACACAGCACCAATCTGTCATTTTAGCCATTGTGAAGTGGCATTGAGCACAGTCACTTTCATGTGGCCATACCCTATCCATCTCCAGAAATGTTTTCAGCTGGCAAAACTGCACCTACGCCCATTAAACACTCGCTCCCCAGCACCCTTCTCCCAGTCACTGGCAGCCACCATTCGAGTTTGTCTATGCATCAACTACTCTAGAGACCTCAGAAGCAGAACATCCAGGGTTTGTCCTCTCATGACTGGCTGATTTCACTTAGCATGATTATGCTTTTTCTTAAAAATCACACTGGCTTTTTTGTACAGTGTTCCTTATTCTCAGTTTATCTTATTGTTTCCTTTTATGCCTTTTAGCTTTCCTTTATCTATTTCCGATAAAGTAGACATTAGGTTCAAGGGCTTGATTAGAGATTGGAATTAAATATTTTGGCAAAATGACTTTGTGGGTGGTAACAGTGATAAGATCATTTTTAACTTCTAAAATGGCTTTGTCTTCACCTGAGGCCCAGATTAGGAATAGTTTCTTCATTTAGAGTTACAGAAACTATAAGAACAATCTCTTTGCTTTTTACATTGGCCCAGAACATAGCTCCATAAGTTAGCCATAATTATTTTGCAAGCCCTCATGTGCTCCAGTCTGAGGTGATATGTGCTTAGGAGAGCTCACAGTCTGTTGGAGTAAGGATTAATTAGCTAACAGGTTGAGAGGAAGAGTGGTCATTTTACTTTCCATTTTGGTCACTTCCACGTTCTTCCTCTCTTGCTTCAGCTGCTGCGCAGGTTCTGGAGCCTCTGGCATTACCGGATCGAGCAGAGGGAAGAGCGAGAGAAGCTTCCTTTGCTGCATGCAGCCTGGGTCCACTACAGGTAGGACTCTAGCCTCAGCCTCTCTGGATACCCCTTGTGATGCTGACTCGGGTCTTCCAGGAGAGCAGTTACTCTCTACTAGTGCCACAGATTCAGAAAGGCCCTGTAAGGGCAGAGGCCACCTATAAACCAGTGGTTCCTGCATTTGCTTTTGGCTGATCAGTTGGGAGGTCTAATGAGGACTGGGTGGGAGGCCAACATGGTGTAAAGTAGGTAGCTGGTTGACACTGCCTCAGTTCTTCAGGCCTCATGACGCTCATGTCTCGGAAATTGTGCGTTGCAAGTGTTATCCAGTCTGGAAGGGAGCAGGGAGTGGCCCTAGTTGGATTTTTTTGGGGGGTGGGGTGGGGTTTGAACTCAGTGGTTTGCGCTTGCTAAGCAAGTGTTCTATTGCTTGAGTGAAACCTCCAGCCCTTTTTGCTGTGATTATTTTGGAGATGGCGGGTGGTGGGGGGGGGTCTCACTTTTTGCCCAGGCTGGCCCTGACCAGGATCCTATTTTATACTTCTTTCCATGGCTGGGATAACAGGTGCATGCCACTATGCCCACCTCTTTTGTATAAGATAGGGTCTCACAAACTTTTTTGCCTGGGCTGGACTGGAATTGTGATCATCTGCACATGCCACCATGCTCAGCTGTTGGCTGAAATGGAGTCTCCTGAGCTTTTTACCCAAGCTGGCTTCAAACCACAGTCCTGACCTAAGCCTCTCATGTACCGAGGATTACAGGTGTGGGCCACCAGCGCCTGGCTTATCCTCAAGCTTTTAGAGCCAGTCATTCGATTAAAATAAATTTGGGGGGCCAGCTGTGGTGGTGCATGCCTGTAATCCCAGCACTAGGGAAGCTGAGGAAGGAGGATCAAAGGTTCAAAGATAGCCTGGGCTATATAGTGAGACCCTGCCTTAAAAAGTCATAAATTTTATTTATTAAAAAATAAGTACTACAAATCTGTGAGGAAAATTCAGAATGTACAGGAGGAAATACAAAATGAAAATAAATGTTTCCTGATCCCCTTCCTGTAACTTCTTTAATGTAACTCATCAGAGATAGCCAATATTAAATTTCTTGCTGCCAGAAATGGTCTTCTCTTCCTCTGCTTTCTCTTCTGTCCTCACCGTGTAACCAGTTTAACCTGCATAGTTATAGTTCCCACTTGGAGGCTTTTACTATTTATTTATTTTTGTGCTAGAGATCAAACCCAGGGCGTCACACATGCTAGGCAGGTGCTCTACCACTTAGCTACATCCCCGGCCTTAGAACATTTTATAGTGAATCAGTGAGAATCCCAGTATTCAACTGACTCGATTGAGAATTGCCAAGGTATGTCATGATTCTATCCTGGTTTACAAAACCAACTGTATCGTTCTCGCTCTCATCTCTCATGAAAGGGAGCTTGTCACAGCCTAGGTAGCTTGAAATAAGCTCCAGAGTTTGCCCATAAAACCAGAAAGTTAGGACCACAGGTGATGGGGGGTGGCTTAGGTGGTAGAGCACCTGCCTAGAAAGCCTGAGGCCCTGAGTTCAAACCCCAGTACTGCCTAAATAAATAAATACAAATAAAATGAATAACAAAAATTTCAGGTATCTGGAGAATTTCATACATATTTCCTAAGTTCTAGAAATTTCAATAAGAAATTTGCCAGGGGCTGGGGATTAGCTCTGCAGTAGTGCAGGCTCTTAGCATGTGCAAAGTCCTGGCTTTTATTCCAGCACAATATAAATAATAAATAGATAATAAATAAAAATAAGAAAGTAACATTTTAAAGCAAGCCACAGTCCAAAACCAGGGGTTCATAAGGTTTATGTTAGGTATCAGAATCCATTTCTCTTTCTAGAATGAAACCAGTAAGCCCACGGGCTGCTTTTGACTCTCAAAGAAGTACCAGATTCGCCTTCCTTAAAACAAAGCAAAATTTAAAAAACCTGGAACCTGAAGGTGCAGACGGCAGCACTGTGGTATGTGTTTTATTCCAGGGTGACATTGCTACGCAAGTGTGTCAGATTGTGGTTGCAGTACACTCAGAAGAGGCGACACAAGCAGGTACAGAGTGCATCACAGCAGATAGCACCAATCTTGCATCTGTTGACTTTGGGAAGGCCCATGCCAACAGACACCATGGGTGCCAGAGTGTCTGTGCTGCTCTCAGTTCCCGTTCACTTTCTACACGACCTCACCAGCCCAGCACCCAGTGAGATCATTGGGAGATGTGTCCAGAGGTGCTGTAGCCCAGTGCTAAACTGTGAGACACAGGTGCCCCGGGAGGCAGAGGAGGTGGGGTCAGGATGGCAAGGTAGTATAGATTGAATTCTGCTGAAGGAACTGTGGTCACTGAGCAGAATTCCTGCTCTCACAAGCCTTGTGAGTCCCCTCCGAGGGGCAGATGAGTGTGCTCTCAGGCCAGTTCTGATGACTAGGAGGAGCTGTCTGGGGTGCTGAACTGAGGATTCTGAGGCTGGGTTCAGTCTGGTCGGTAATGTTTATTTAATTGATGATGTATGCAAGGAAAGTGCTGCTCTTCAGCCATCCCTGGCAGTGAACCAGAGGAAGAAACCAACCAAACACTTCAGTTACTTTTGTGCTGCCTTCCCCATCCCCATTCCCTGCCATCTGCTGTTGAGAGTCTCACATGTGAATTTAGATTTTGGCTGGCTCCCCAGTTTTGTGATAGAATGCAGATTTTTAGCAAAGGATTCCTCCAGGAGCTGGTCATTCTTTTTCTGCACCCTCTGACCTGCTACCCCTGTGGCTCACAGTTGCACTCTGGCAGGTGGGCTCCCGGTCACTCCTGAGTGTTCTGTGTGTGCTCCTGCTCCTCACTGTACCTGCAGAACGGAGGCGCTGCTTCCTCCCTCTTGCCCAGCACCCCCATACGGTTGTCTGCTGGCCTTTGAGGTCCTTGCAGGTACAGCCTGCCTCTTCTGAGCCAGCACAGTGCTCGGCATAGGGTTCGTGCTGATCCACGTGGACAGATGAAGGCACAAATGAGAAAACAAACTACCATTAACACATCACAAAGTTCCCAAAGAAGCATCTGGGCCTGGGAGTTTGGATAGTATCAACCCAAGGCACAGATGGTTTTGTGTTGTTTCTACATTCAATACTTGAAAACGCTGTAGTCTGCATTCTGTGACATCCCTTTGATTATGTGACTTTTTCTGAAAGGACATTGCTATTTGGTCCCTTGAGGTCATTCAGTGCAAGTTCAACAGGATTTTGAGAGACCTTTTAGAAAAAGTCTGAGTGCCAGGGTAGAAAAGTTGTGTTTATTGCAGGTGGAAAGGAGATGGTCTCTTTTTTTAATTAAAAAAAAAAAAATCTTTTGGGCTGTACTAGGGTTTGAACTCAGGTGCTTGCTAAGCAGGCACTCTACCCTTTGAGCCACACCTCCAGTCCATTTTGCTCTGGTTATTTTGGAGATGGCGTCTTGTGAACTACTTGCTCAGATTGGCTTTGAACTATGATCTTCCAAATATCAGCCTCCCAAGTAGCCAGGATTACAGGCATGAGCCACTGTGCCAAGCCCAGAGGGTCTCTTATTTCCTTCCTAGGAAAAGAGAATCTAGATTCTCTGCAGCCCAAGACCAGCATAGGTGGAAAGTCCAGGGTCAGCAATCTCTCTTTTGCATGGCCTGCTTTCAAAGGTGGAGCAGGTTGTTACTTTTTGAAAACCTTGATCCAGCAATTTGAATGTAAACTCTAGGTGTAGTTATCCCAGGAGCACATCAGTTCTATTTTAGGAAAACATAAAAAATATAATTTATTGTGGGTTTCTAAGGGCTGGGGATGTAGCTCTTGGTAGAGCACTTGCGAGATCCTGGATTCCATCACAGCACTACAGAGCAAAACAAATCTATGTCTGGGGTTCTTTTTTTTTAATGGTACTGGGGTTTGAACTCAGGGCCCCACAGTTGCTAGGCAGATGCTGTACCACTTGAGCCACTCATCCAGCCCTTTTTTCTTTTTGTGCAGGGTCTTGCATTTATTTATGGCATGTGGGCTGGACCATGATCCTCTTATTTACACTGACTGCATGGCTGGGATAATAAGTGCATGCCACCACACTATTTTTTACTGATTGAAATGGGGTCTTGGGAACTTTTTGCCCCAGCTGGTCTTGAACCACAGTCCTCCTGATTTCTGTCTTCTATATGGCTAGGATTACAGTCTTGAGCACTGCACCTGGCCTTGGAATTTCTTTCTTTTTAAAAAGAATGTGTACAGAATTGCAAAATGTTTGCTAATTGTTGCAGTTGGAGGACAGGTTCATGGGCATTCATTAAACTTTTTATATTTGAAAAATGACCATAAGAAAACAATCAAAAGCAATGCAATATGTAGGCATTCTAGAAAACTTTGGAAGTGTAGAAAGACATAAAGAAGAAAAAACAAAAGCACTCATGAGCTTGCCTCTGAAGAGGACATTTGGTGAGTAAATCTGGTACTCTCTTTCCTCTAGGGGAAGTGTATGCATCCCATCGTAGTACACGTGTCCTGTTCCAGTGTTCCATTGCTATGTAAAGAATTACCCCAAACTCAGCAGCATAAAACCACCACTTAAGGTTTCTGTTGCTCACATTGAGACCCCACAGTGGGGAGGCTGGTCTCTGCTCCACGAGAACAGGGCCCTCAGCTGGGAAGATTGTAACGCAGGGGTTAGAATCCTCTAGAAGTTTCTGGTTCCTGAAGTGGAATGAATCAAAGACTGGGCTGACCTGGAAGTATTAGCCAGTGAGCCTGTGTGTGGCCTTGCCGTGAGTCATGGCTTCTTCATAGCATGGGAGCCTCAGGGTAGTTGACATCAGGACTTGGAAAGTGAGTGTTCTATTGAACAAGGCAGGAGTTGTATAGCCTTTCGTGTAGCCTCAGCAGTCACCTAGTGTCACTTTTACCATGCTCTCTTGGTCAAAGCAGTGTCCCACCCAGATTAGAAAGGAGGGGACATATGCTGCTTCTCAGTGCGGGAGGATGGCTGGCAGTGTGTGTTTACAGCTTCCGCCCCACGTGCCCGTGCACTTCCCTCCCTGGAAGCAGTGGTTCTTGAGGCGTTCCTAAGTCAGTGTCTGTCTTCCTCCTGATACATCAGGGCTCCGAGAGCCGTTCATAATGACAACAGAGTTATAGAATCTATGTAACATAGCCACCAAAACAAAATCAGGAAATACCATAGGATAGGAAAGATCTGTGTATTTCTAATGCATAGGACAAGGTTTTTTGGATTCAAAAACCCATACATCTCACTGGGCTGCCGACAGTCAGACAATAAAACAGGCAGTGGGTGTGAATGTCTCTGAGCGATAGGGAAGAAATTTAGACAAGCATACACATACGTGTGTATATTCTTACAGGAAGAGGTCCTGAAGCCACATGTCATTAAAGAAGTGAATAATTATCACTTGCCAAATTTCATTTTTCACTTAACATTAGCAAAGATCAAATACAATATTTTTGGATTTTATCTCTAATTTTATTGGGTAAGAAACAGTTCTCCCTCAAGAGTGTGACTCTGAAAGAAAAAAAGCATTGCAGAAAAGGCCATTCATTATTTTACTTTAGCTACTGCAGGCCACAGCAGATAGCCACTTCCAGCAGAGAGCCCTGTCCGCTGCCTTCCACACATGGAGCCGACTCTGGCGACAGCACCAGCAGGAACATGTCCTTAGTGCACAAGCAGTGCGTTTTCACAGGTATGCTACGTAGCTCCCGTCTGTACAGGGGCCGACATCTCTGGTCCACCTCTGCCAACCTTTTACACAGCCCATTGGCTTTGCTTCTCAGTCCCAAGCCCCCCCGTCCCTGATTCTCCCAGGGTTTTCAATAATTTGGGCTTGTTGATCTTATCTAGTGGGAAAAGAGATAGTATTTCCTCTGGGCACATTTTTCCTCGTTCTTAAAGCACTTTCACAATTGCCTGTTTTATGTCTCTGCCCTCATTTCATGCTGCTAAGAGCTCCACTGACACCGCCCGCTAGCTTTCTGGATCAGAGCACTGGTGGGGCCATGTGGTACCTTGGCAGGAATTCTGGAGTGTGACCTCCTTGAAACGCTTAGTTCTTGTTCTGCAAGACCTGGCCTTTTGAAGTCCTGAAGTTATAGTCATCAACAGAATTAAAAAGGTCATGGAGCAGAGTGACATTGTTTTAGCTCCTACAGGGCCACACTTGCTCAAAGCAGGTCCTCGGTACACGTTGGTGGAACGCACTGAGGAAATTGTTAACTGCTAACTGTGCATCAACTGCTGTGCTGGTCGCTGTGTGCTGTGACATCATTATCTCCATTAATAATTTCCTTATTGCAGCAGTCCTGAGGAAACGGGCAAAATGATAAGTGACCATCGTGGTAACAGTCAGTGTATGTCAGAGCCAGAGTTTAAATTCAAATCTCTATTCCAAAGTCCAGACTTTCTACTCAGTGATGAGGAAGATCTTTCTGCTGACTTTGCAGGAGTTTAACTTCTTGTAAGGAGACAAACCGTACACAAGAGACCATTGAGGAATAATCCACGCATCCACAATTACGTCAGGCATCAAGTTCCTCTAGAGCTCAGTCTGGTGCTGAGAGTGGCTGGAGCCTGGAAGTGTTTGGGGGAAACCAAGGATTGGGGGTGAAGGGTCAGAGTCATAAGATGTGGATGGCCAGCCTGAGGAGTGGACGGGTCCAGTAGACAGATGAGGGGCCGATGTGTGGGCAGGCACACAGAAGCAGTAAAGTGACAGTTTTGGAGATGGCCCTGTGTGCAGCGTGTATCAACTCGTGGCAGAGGACCAGAGGAAGGGCATGTGTTGGCGAAGGTGCAGCTCTCTTAAGTTTGGAGGAGTCTAAGTGCTGGTTGGAGAGGGTCACCTGGAAATCCAGGACTCCTGAGCACAAAGCCCAAGGAGGTGTTTCCAGTGGGTGGTCTCAGGGAACACAGGCTGCCTCCACCACCTCCTGTAGACACAGCGGCTTTGTCTTTTCCCGCTTCCTGTATGTGATCTGATAGAAGATCCATTCCAGAAATGGCTTCAGTACTTAAAACACACACAGACCTCTGTTTCCTTTATATACAAGAGAAACCTGCGGGGAGCAGACTTGGGTGTTTAGAGCTATCACTGGAGATAAAAGGCTAGAAGGGGGAATTGGAGACCCAGTGGCTGGCAGGCTAGAAAGATGGTGGAGGCTAACCTAGACGTTGTCCTGTTTTGCTGGTTGGATCTTTCTAGGAGACTTAGTCTCACAGGTTCCCACCATCCTGGTTCGTTGGGGAGCAGAGGGCTTGAGTCTGGCTTGGAAGCTAGTCAAGGCCTGTGTTCAGACTTTGTTTCTCCACCTGCCAGCTGCTGGGCCAGTCAGCGTCTCTGAGCCTCAGTCTTCTCTAGTGTAAAGTGGAGATGACTTGAAGAGTCCTGTCATAGGTTGTCCTGAGAGCTAGGTGACATAGTACATGTCAAATACAGTCAAAGCACCCAGCACAAGATATTGATGATCCTGCCCCCAGAACCGGCTGGATTCGTGACTGTCTCTGTAAGAAAATATTCATGCAGCATTGGTTGGTGTTAAGTAAGTTAAAGTTCCAAGGAATAGCTGCTATCCTGTACTCTCAGGTGTTTGCTAAATGTCTTAGAAATACAGGCAGAACTTCTGGTGAAATCTCATGAATTATGGCGAAAGTGATCATTTATTAACTTTCAGTAAACTATACTGACAGACAAAAAGCTGACATAAAATTTGCATGTTGTTAAACAATTTGATGCACTCTCACAAATTATGCCCAAGTGAGCAGCACTGTAGTCAAGGTACGTCTGTATTTCTCTCGCCACGGAATTGGCAGTTTTTTGAAAATCAGATGGCCACGTAAGTCCGCTTCTGTCTCTGAGCTTTTATCTGTCTGTCTATCTTTACTACCCTCTGTCCTGATTGCTTATCTTCATTGTAAGTGTTGAAATCACAGTAAGTTCTTTAACCTTATTCTTGTTCAAGATTGTCTGTTTGTCCTGTGTGCACTCCCCTGTGAATTTTTGAATCAGTTTGCCAGTTCCTTCAAAAAGTTCTCCTGGGATTTTCTTTGGGGTTTTACCGAATCTGGTACATTTCTTCCTTTTATTTAAGTTTTCGTTCATTTTTCTCAGCAGTATTTGTAATTTTGGATAGTGTTTTTATATGTAGTTTTAAAGTTTATTTCTAAACATCTTTACAGTTTTTGATGCTACTTTAGATGGAATTATTTGGGGGCTGGCGGAGTGGCTCAAGTGGTGATACACCTGCCTAGCAAGCATGAGGGCCTGAGTTTGAACCCAGTACCACAAAAAAAAAAAAAAAAAACACAAAACAACACAAGAAATGGAGTTATTTAAAAATTTTTTCGAATTGTTTGTTCCTAGTATATAGAAATACAATCGATGCTTTGTATTCCACGACCTCTCTAAATTACTAGTTTTAGTAGTTTCTTTCTTTTCTAAACATTGTGTGACACAGGCCGGCAGTGATGGCTCTCACTGAAATGCTAGCTGCTTGGAGGGCAGAGATCAGGAAGATCAAGGTTCGTGGCTAGCATGGGCAAAACACAAGACCTTGTCTTAAAATACCCAACACAAAAAAGGGCTCAAATGGTAGAGCACTTGCCTAGTATGTATGAGGCCCTAAGTTCAAATCCCAATACCACCAAAAAAAAAAAAAAAAAAGACAAAAAAAATTTGCGTAAAACAATCTTTTTTTTTTTTTTTTCATCCCAAAGCATTTTTGCTCGCATACACCAGTTGTAACGGGGGATTCGCTGTGACATTTTGAATGTTCTCACATTGTCCATGGGTTAAGTTCTCCCTCATCACCTCCCTCTGCTAGTTCATGTAAGTATATAAAGTGCATCGTCCACATTCACCCTCCTTTACCCCTCCATCCTCCCTCCCCCTCCCAACCCCCAGGACCTATTTTACCATCCTGACCTCCATTTTTAATTCCACAGTCAGTGTTCACTGGGGTTTCCCATGTATCCGAGCTGTGAATATTCTTTACTTCCTTCCCACACCCTATTCAGTTTTCATTACATGTCCTGTGTCACCTACCCGCACAGGTGCCATGTTTTGCTGTATTGTTGACTGTCACTCCCTTTCCCTGCTGCCAAGTTCCATAGCGTGGTTCCACTGTTACAAACATGTTCTATATATAAATGCATGTTTTATGCAAATAAAGACAGCTTTTCCCTCTCCAGTCTGTTTGCTTTTCCCCTGCTGTTCTTACTGTACTGCTGGGAACTCCAGTGCTCTTTAAGTAGAAGTGGTGAGAGGTCACACAGCTGTCCTTCCCCATCTTCTGGGGAAGCAAAAAGCATCGACTGCGTCACCATTGAGCACGTCAGCTCTGAGTTTTGCATAGACTGGCTTGTATTATAAAGAGTTGGTGTTTTTTGGCGTACTGGGCTTGAACTCAGGGCTACACCTTTAGTCACTCCACCAGCCACCAGCCCTTTTTTGTGATAGGTTTTTTCGAGATAGGGTCTCACAAACTACTTGCCAAGGCTGGCTTTGAACTGCAATCCTCCTGATCTCTGCTTCCTGAATAGCTGGGTTTACAGGTGCACATTACACCCAGCTTTTGTTTGAGATAGGGTCTTGCCAGCTTTTGCTTGGGCCAGCCCCAAACCACTGTCCTCTCAAATAGTTGGGATTATAGTTATGCTCTACTGTACTCAACCCCCTTTTATCATTTTGTTTTATTGGTACTGGCGTTTGAACTCAGGCCCTCACACTTGTTAGGCATAACCACGCCCCCAAGCCTGTTTTTGTTGTTGTTACTGTTTTTGCTTTAGTTATTTTTCAGGTAGGGTCTTGAGTTTTTGCCTGGGGCCAGCCTCAGACTTTGATCCTCCCTGTTTATACCTCCCACATAGTTGGGATCATAGACACATGTCACCACACCCAGATTACTAATTGAGATGAAGTCTCACTGGCTTCAAACCACAACTCCTCCGATCTCTGCCTCCTGCAGGCCCACTCTTTACTAGACCCCCAGGTTGCACGTGCAGCCCTCTCAAGTCCAGGGGCAACCTCAGTGAACTTCTGGGTATTCCCCTCTGCTCAGCTTCCTCTGTCTCACTACCCTGTCCCCAAATTCCAACCTCTTTAGCGGTCTTGGAGCCAACATTGACCTCCTGTTCAGTGAGCCAGTCAGAGCATGGCTTCCTTCCCCCCACGGTCTAAAAAGCACAGTGGGCACAATGCGTGGGTGTCTGGGAGCTTACTGCACGGGTCTCTCAACTTTTGAGCATCACAGTTTGCATTTCTACTGTCTGATGCCTAAAACCTGTGACTTCATGTATCTAGCTTTGTAGTTCATGACTGGAGGGCAAGTCCAGGACCACAGGTGTCGTCATGGCTGGAGGTGGAGCTCCTCGTTTTGAGTGACATCCTTCCCATGTTAAATGCCAGGGGATTAATCTCTCCTCAGCACCCAGCCTTGACCCTTGTGGTCCTGCCAGTGTGGAACTCATGAGGCACTGAGTCAGTTGTCCTGGTGCAACAGTTTACCATAGTTAATGGTAAGCCAAGGTAGGCTTGGTAGAGGTGACAAAGCAATGGTTCCCACCCGTGTGTCCGATTCACCTGGGGTTTTGAGAGTGTGGCTTGGGTCAGGGGTCCTGCCCATTTCCCCCCATGAGTTGGTTAGAGCAGCCTGTCCGTCTGCACAGCACTGGCAAGGCTCTCAGCGTTGGTGTTGGGAATCGAGTGTGGCGTGGATGAAGAGCCAGGGCCTCGGCCCCGAGTCCTCCTTACTGCCTGCAAAGGCGGAGCTGGTGCTGAGATAATTGGGAAAGTGTTGGGTTGGGGTTTTTTTTGGCTTTCATCTGTGACTCTTCCCTTTCTTTCCTTTCCTGCCTTCTTCATCAGCGCTCATTAAGGAAAAATCCAGTTCTTTGCAGCTTATAGTTCTGTTGGACTTTTTGGTTTTAATTTAGTGTTTCTCTCTGATCCATTTTTTCTGGCTTCCAGGGGGACAGTAGAAAAGCAGGTCTTTGCTATCTGGTGGCAGAAGATGTTTCAGCATCGAGAAAACCGCCTGGCAGAGAGAATGGTATATGGCTGACCTGAGGAGGCACCTACAGGGGGAGGTCCTGTTTTGAGCCTTTGCCTGCACTGCAGGTCACCTGCCTCTCACTCAGGAGCAGGGTCTGGATGTCATGTCCTTGTCAGTGCAGTTTACCAGCAGCTTCGGGACCAAGGCCCTTCCTGAATGTCTGTTTCTTTTGCTGTGGTCTTTACATTGTTCCCTGGCTTCCACACGGCCCTCTCCTTAACCCGTTCTGTTCTCTCTCCTGCCCTGCCTCAGGCCATCCTTCAGGCAGAGCGGCACCTTCTGCAGAGGTCCTGGTCCATGTGGCACCAGCAGGCAGCAGCACGTCGCCAGGAGCAGGAGTGGCAAGCGGTGGCCTGTGCCCACCACCAGCAGGGGCAGCTTAGGAAGGCCTTCTGGGTCTGGAGGGAGAGCGCCCGAGGGCTTAGGACAGAGTAAGTCACATTCTGCCACTTTGACCACGGAAGCAATGTCAACCCCGCGTCCCGTGTAAAGGGTTGAGTCAACCTTGATTGCGTGTCAGTTTCAGAAATTCAACCTGAAGTGGAAACCAGGGCGGGCCCTCAGGATATCAGCTGGGACAAAGTGCTCTGTGAATCAGGAAGTTCTGTCCATCCTGGCCCATTTGAAGTGACCTTGGGGATGACTGACCACCTGGCCAGCGGGCAGGTCATGACAGTTTACCAGCCACATGGCTACAGGGAGCAGGGCCGGCAGCCTGTGTGTCCACTGCAGAGATCTTCCCACTTCAGGGCTGTCTGTATCCACTGTGGGTCCCGAGAGCCTACCGATCCAGCCCTGGCCACTCTAGCCTCCTCCTCAGTGGGCTTCGGCAGGCCTGTGCTCACGTGAGCATTGCTGCTGCTTGAATCCCTGTGAACTTACATGCAAAGTTTTGAATCTGTGTGCCCTTTTCTGTTGAGAGAACCCAAGTCCTTTGGTAGCTCTTCAGAGAGGGTCTTGACTCCCATAGAAACTTCGCCACCAGCTACAGGCCAGGGACAGCGAAGTGGAGCTTGTCAGGAGCCTGTGCTGTCTGGGCTCTGCGCTGAGCCACTCCCGTCTCTCTGCAGGAGGACAGGCAGGGCACGGGCTGTGTGCTTCCACTCAGTGCGGCTCCTGCGTTGGGCCTGGAGCAGGTGGAGGGAGGTAAGGCTTTGGTGAGGGTGCCACTCGAGAATGGCTTTTGGCTGGGTAGAGCAGTGTGTCTGTGTGACTCAGAGCAGACAGATGGGCTCCTCGGCAGTGCAGTGCCTCGGAGCCAGGGAGGAGGGTGGGCAGCAGACAAGGAAGTATTAGCTCACTGCCGGGAGATAATTGGCTAGGGACTCCTTGTTCTTTTAGTAGCAGGCTGTTCTTATTTGAACCTACTGAATCTAAAATTCCCGATCTAACCATGTACCCTACCAAGGGCACAAAATGTTCAGCTGACACCAAACAGTTCCTGTAAGTCAGGCACTTGCTTATGTGATCCTCACAAAACCCCCAGAAGTGCTAGTTACAGATGAGAAAACCAAGGCTTAGGAAGGTTATGTAGCACATGTGAGCTCACACAGTGTAAACTGAGGCACGGCTGGAATCGCCCCTTCCCCTGGTCCCTCAGCCCTGGGTGGCCGCTCTCTCCTGTGTTCGCAGTGCCTGGCCCTGCGGGCTGCTGAGCAACAGCAGCTGATGCAAGCGGACCTGCGTGGCCAGAGGATCGCGCTGCGCAGGGCGCTGCGGAAGTGGCTGGTGGGTGCCCCCGTCTCCAGACCTCCTTGCTTTAGGGGTGGGGAGGCTTCTGCAAACTGTTTTCTGTCCTGTCCCTCCCCAAAGCAATTCCACAAGCCTGTAACAACAGGTGTCCATACAGGGGGTCTCACAGCCACAGGGAGTCACAGCCTTACAGGAAGCACAGAGGTTGACATGTTAGGTGAGGGCCCAGGAAGGCCCAGGGGCTACTAGCCTTGGGATAAGGGTCTCAGCCTCTCCCTGCTCTTGTGGATGCTCTGGGGATGTAAACACACCTGAGGCCTGCCTGCAGTGGGAGAAGTGGGGGCCGGGGACTGCCTCTAGTGCTCCTGTCCCCCACAGGCATACCAGAGCAGGGTGCGGAGTGTGCTGCAGGAGGTGGCAGCCAGGGAGAGCCAGCACAACAGGCAGCTGCTGCGGTGAGTCTCCCGAGGGTCTGGTGAGGCCCAGGCTGAAGGAAAAGCAACAGCCAGAGCTAGGTGTTGTGGGGTCCTGCCTGGACCTAGCAGAGCGTGGGGCTGCATGCCACACCTCATGTGCTGTGGTGCTGGCTTCCCCACAGCTCGCCCTAAATTCACCGGTTCATCTTAGCACAGCTTGAACTTGAGCGATGTGCAGGGTGCCCTTGGAAAGCATCTCTCAGCCAGATACCTGTGGGCATCCCATTTGCCCTGCTCCCCTATGCTCTTCCCCCTGCTTCATGCCTGCAGGATTCAGACTCTCCAGGCCCCGTTTCATCTCCTCTCCTGCCATTTCCCAGGAAGTCCCCTCCCAGCCCTGTAGGACTGTCTGCATCTCTCACCTTCAAAGATCCCTCTCGGCCCACCCTGCAGTCCTTCAAGGCCTAGTTCTGAACTTGCTGCTTCCCAGCAGGCCTTCCTCCTTCCCTTTCTTTCCCTTCCCCTGTGTGTTCAGCCCTTGCTGTTCTAGGCAGCCTATGGGCCATGCACCTTGTGCATCTTGAACCCCTGCATCCCTCCTCGGGGGTCACAAACTGCCATCCAGGCCTCCAGATGGCAGAATAAGAGAAGGGACCAGACACTGCTGGGGTTGAGCTCTCCTCCCTCTGGCTTCCCTATCTCTGTGCTTCTCATTTAGTGGGACTGGGGTTCGAACTCAGGGCTTCTCACACCTTCAGTCCAGTTTGCTCTGGTTATTTCAGAGACAGGAATCTCTTGAACTATTTGCCCAGGCTGGCTTCAAACCATGATCCTCCCAAGTAGCTGAGATGACAGGCTTGAGCCACTGCACGTGGTTCTGCAATTCTCTTATCATGCTGAATCAGTATTGTCGCTGGGTAGCAGTTCTGACTCTGTCCCCCGTGTCAGGTAAACGCCTGAGGCTGTGGTCCTCAGTCCTGCACGCTGCCAGGTTCCCAGTACTCTCCCGGTGCTGACCATTTGTTGGATGTAGGTAGACACGACCATGGACTTGGGTGTCAGTGAAACAGATGCTCTCAGGCACTCAGTGCCCACTCAGCAGGGGAAGAGTGAGGTGTGATGGGCAGAAGCTTCCTGTCACCCTCCATACTTACCGGGCCCTTGCATCAACAGGTGGGTGTTACGTCGCTGGAGACAGAACACTGTGGCCCGTGTGGATGAGGCCAGAAAGTGCTCTGAAGCAAGTGTCCACTACAGAAGAACTCTGTGCTCCAAGGTGAGGGGCAGGGAGGCAAGCTGGTCACCCAGGGGCTTTGGGGACCATGTTCCAGCCAGGGTGTGGAGTGGGAGCTGGTACCAGAGACTAGAACAAGGAGCCCAAAACATGGGTGACTGTCCACCATCACGTACACACACACCTGTGTCTACTGGTGTTTGTGTTTTCGCTGAATTAGGAACAGGGTCCGTTTAAGATAAAAATGTGGCCCATAGTAAGGAAATTAGTTCTTGTCAGCCCAATGTTTTACACACGGAACTTTCCACTGGGAGGAACCACAGAAGTCAGGGTTGTGGCCATGGAGGAAAAAAAAAGAAGAGCACCTGAGAATGCGTGGACCTTGGTCTTCAATGGGAACTGACCCCTTGACTGGGGTGGGGGTAGGGACAGGGTTGGTCCCGTGTTCTGGGCATGGGGAGTGTGGCAGGACATCGGTGTGGGAAGGGATTCAAGCAGGAATGGAGTGGCCAGGATGGTCCCTGGACACCAGGTGTTTAGAAGAGAACAGACTGCCTGGAGCCCTGTGGCACGAGTCATCTGCTGGAATGCCGGCGGCCAGTCCTGACAGCACAGAGCTTCCACGGAGGGGCGAAGGCCAGCCTGTTCTCCGGAACCTCGGGGCCACCTGTGTGGCCCCTGCCCTGGGAGGGGGGAGAGTGGGGAAGAAGGAGCCCTTGGAGTTTGTGACTGTGGGGTGGCACCAGGCTTCCCGGCTGCCTTAGTTCCTTAGAGTGTTTTGTTACTGTGCTTCCGGTGTATCTCTGATGAGAGCACACGTACAGTGTTTACAAACAGTAACTTCTCTACAGCACAGCGTGACAGTTAAGTCCCCCTGACAGAAAAGTCCCAGTACCTGAGGCTCCATCCCAGGCCTGTGGATGGCAGGCACGTTCTGGGGTGTTGTGTGTGAGAGCCAGACGTCAAGCACGCAGCCCCACCTCATGAGGAATCACCCAGAGTGTCACTGGGCATCAGGACGTGAAATGATCACTTCTGTTCCTCACTTGCCTGTAGGTCCTGGTCCGGTGGCGGGAGGTGGCATCGGTGCAGATACATTGCCGACAGTGGGAAGCGGGTGCCCTCAGGGAAGCCCGGAAGGTTCTGGATAGGGGTAAGTGGGAGCCCTGGAAGCAAGCAGTGTTGAGTGCCCGGGGTTCTCTGCTCTCCTCACGGTGCCTGTCTCCTCCTGTGTGTCAGTTCCCTGGCTCCCGTGACTGGGAGGCTTCAAACAAGCGCACTCTCCCGGCGCTGGCGGGAAGCCTGCCTGCCTCTTGCAGCTTCTGGCTGCTTGCCGTCCTCGTGCACACGCACGGCCCCCACCTCAGCCTCCATCCTCACGGGCTGCCCGCTGCCTGTGTCTCTGGGCCTCTTCCCACATGGACACCAGACCTCACCCTGCTCTAGAACGACATCATCTTAACCCATTGTTTCTGCGCCGACCCTCCTGCCAAACACACTGAGTTCTCAGGTGCTGGGAAGGACGTGAGTGGCAGGGAAGGGGACACACAGGCAGAGCATAACGTCCTGTTCCCCGCCGAGTCCCACGCGGCTCGCATGAAAATGCACAGCACAGCCTGAGACCGAGGGGCTCCGAGCATGGGGAGGGGTTGATGTGAGCGAAGGGCCCTCTGGGTCAGCGCTGGTGGGTCAGGGCCCTGCCTCCTTGCATGCCTGGGCCCTGGGGTGTGCAGACACCAGAGCCTTGCTCCGCTGGCCTCGGGAAGGCCCTTCCATTTCTCATCCTTGGAAATACAGTCCGTGTACGATGCACAGACGTGGGAGGCCAGCGGGGACCCGTGTCCCAGCAGCTCAGCGCCCCGCAGAGGGGAAGTGTGAATCATGCCTTAGCTGACTTGCCCTCCCTGACCGAGCCTCGACTTCCTCCTTGGTAGGAAGAGGCTGTCTTCTGTTCACGCTTTGAGTCCAGACCAAGGGTTTCCTTCCACATGCCTGGTAGCACCTTCTGTGGCTCTACGGTTGTGTCACTCCTGGGGTAGTTGTGGCAAGGCCTGCGACTCTGCGAGGGCCCTTGGGGACATAGCAGCAAGTGGAAGCCCTAGCAGGCCTGCTTCCTGTCCCTGCAGAGTGGTCATGGTCCACGTGTGGGGTTTTACTCACAGAACAGACACCCCGACTCCCCTACAGAACCTTCTCTACTCTGTGAGCCTTCTGTGACATAGTTGCTTTTGCAGCTCCCACAGAAAGGCAAACCCTGGCTTGTACCTGCCTCAGGTCGTCTCCGGACCTGGTTTCGGCACTGGCGGGATTGCAGCCAGAGGGTCGCCCAGCAGAGGGCCCAGCTGGAGCGGGCAGCCCAGTGTCGCCGCCGGCGGCTGCTGCTGGAGGGTGTGACGCGGTGGAAGACACACCATCTGGGCTGCGTCAGGAAAAGGGTGAGGCAAGAGGTGGCAGCTCTCCAAGCTCCCTCCTCATGGCAGGGTGTCTGGGCCGGGAGACCACTTCTTGGGGAGGCATCTCCACACAGAACTCAAGGCAGCTGCATGGGTACTGGTGGTTTGGGGTCCTGCTGCAGGAGCCTCTGGATGTTAGTGAAGTCTGGGGTAGCCAACCATCGAATTGGGTCCCCAGGGGAGGATGGCTCTGGAGAGAAACCTGGGGACCTGCAGAGCCGCGAACTACCCCCTTCCCCTATCACCTGTGCAGGAGTTTTTGGTGTTACCCAGAACAGCTCCTGGAGACAGGAGGACATTCACTTGGGCCTGGAGCCTCGTTCACCATGTGTCCGTTGCCTGGGCTGGGAGGCAGGGCAGGCATGGGCCCTGACTGTGCACCTGCTCTCTCCCCAGCTCCTGCAGAGGCAGGGCACCCAACTCCTGGCGCAGAGACTCACCCGGACCTGCTTCTGCCAGTGGAGACAACAGGTGGGAGCCGACACACCACCTTTCCCGCTTCCCCACCCCACCCCGCTGGCTCAGAGGCCCGGGCTGTGGGTGACGTGAGCCGCACTTTTAGCTCAGTCTTCGGTGTCACCCCTGGCCCATGGCTGCCTCCCTGTGACCTTCCAGTCATTTCTTGGCAAAATCAGCTTCCTTGCATGTACCATCAGAGAAGCCTGGTCTCTTCAAGAACGAGTGTCATGTTAGACAGTCACATTCCAGAAATGAATGTGAACCGTGAGGCCTTGATAAAAAGCCAGAGGGGTCAGGCCTCTGGATAGCTGAAGCCACAAGTCCTCGGGTCCCTCCCAGCTCCCTGTGCTCTCCCACCCCCACTCGTTCCCTTCCCCATCCTTTGATTCACAGACCAGGGGTGCCCTGAGCACCTCACCACCAGGGCCACCCAGTCCTTCCTAGCAGAGGGAGGTGGGGAGCCTGGCTAGGGCGTGATGAGCCGGGCACCTGTGGCCATGGTGGGCTCCCGACTTGTTCTTTCTGGCCCACAGCTGGCGGCCAGGAGGCAGGAGCAGCAGAGCACAGCACGGGCCCTGTGGTTCTGGGCGTTCTCGCTACAGGCAAGGGTAAGTGTGCCTCATCTGGCCGCTCCTGTGTGCGGGGAGGGAAGCCCCTGCCCCAGGGCATGGGGGTCATGGCAGAGGTGAGGCCTCACCTGCCACCCTTCCTGGAGGCGTGGACGGCATGGCTGGGCTTCGTGCTTGAGAGGAGGAGGAAGAAGGCGAGGCTGGAGTGGGCTGTGCAGTTCTACCACCGGCAGCTCCTGCAGGAGGGCGCCACGCGGCTCCTGCGCTTTGCGGCCAGCTTGAAGGCCTTCCGGCAGCAGCTGCAGGCCCAGCAGCAGATGCAGGTAGGCCGGGGCCGGGGTCCCTTCTTGTGGGACATGGGCGGGCAGGGCGTGAGCTGACGAGAAGCCGTGTTACAGGCGGTGCACAGTCTTCACCATGTAGTCCGCCGCTGCGCTGAGCACTGGAAGCAGAAGGCGCTGGGCCAGGGCAGGGAGTCTCGGCCCCCAGCACCCATCACCCCACCAGGAGAGTGACCTTTGAGGGGCCCCTTCCCAACCACGATGCTGCTGGGGCTGGGGATGCCACCCTGGAGACCAAGAGGCGGCGAGCTCGTCCTCAGGGAGCCCTGGGGAGCCTGGTGCTGCCGGCCGGGGAGCCCTACCTCCTGGAGCTGTGAGTGGCCTGTGCTGCCCCCTCTTCGTCCTCACCCCACCTGGGCAAAAAGCCACCTGGGCAAAAAAGCCGGGACCACCTCAGGAGGGAGGAGGCTGAGCGCTGGGAGGGGCGGGACTGGACGGCCACTGCCTTGTCACTGCTGAGCTGCCCCAGACCCCCTTCTCCAGCAGGATCCAGGACCTCCCAGGGCACAGGGAAATGGAGTAGGGTTTCCAAAGCCCTTTTCCTGAGGAAATGGGCCTCTGAGCAGTGGGGAGAAAGGGAAGTAGGAAGGTGTCACGCAGGTTCCTGCGTCTGCAGCCCAAGCCCACACGCTTGCTGACCTTGGGCCACAGCCTTGCCTGCCGTCTCCCTGTCAGATCTGAAGGGAGGGACGCTGCACAGGTCTTGGGCCCCCTGCAGCCCCCGTTTCTTCTCAGCAATGCTGCCCGCTCAGCAAGGAAGCAGCCACGACGCCCTCACTTCCTGCTGGAGTCCACGCAGAGCCAGAGGTCCCCGGGGTATAGCCCCCTCCCAGGACAGGGGTGAGTTGTGTGCTTGTGGACCTGTTTTGGTGGCCCCGGGGGTTTCGGTGGCCCCGGGGGTTTCGGTGGTCCCGGGGGTTTCGGTGGCCCCCTTCTTCCCTGTTCTTCAGTCCAGAGAAACACGGAGAAAAGGTGCACGGCCTGACCAGCCCCCTGCCTTCCCTCGCTCAGGCTGGAGAAGTGTCAGGAATGGGGCCGAGGCATCCGGCCAGCAGGCCCTTCCCTGCCGAGGCCCCTCCTGTCTGGGGCCCCGAGCGCCCCTGGCCCGGAGCTGCTGCTGCCCCCCTCCTCCTTCACGGCCCGTGGGGCAGGAGGCCTGGCCAGGGTGAGTCCTCCACACCGCCTGTCGCCGCTCTGCTGCTTTGCATTGGCTTTCAGTGCTCGTCCTCGTGCCCTTGCACTGTCACCATGACTGTCCACACTGTGTCTGCCGCACCCTGGCCTGGGAGGACATGGCAGGTGCGTTCGCTCGCAGGACCCAGGGCTCGGCTGCGAACAGCTTGCCGAGGCCCGTCCTCGAGAAGCTTCTTTCCTCGGCAGGACACCACGTGTACAGACCCACGGAGTGGCGCAGATCCCGTGGGTTGGCTGGCCGTGTGAAAGTTGGTGAGGGGCTAGGGCAGGGGCACCACTGTGTCTGCTCGTACGTGGGCTCCAGGGTGCTGGGCGGCTGGGCAGCCAAGCCACGTGGTCCAGGCTAAACTCACTGTGGCAAGACGGCTTCTCTCGGAGGCACACAGGGCAGGACTTGGCGTGGTGGGTGTGGAGACGGGAGGGAAGGACGGACCCCAGAGTGGCCTTGGGTTTCTGGCCCGAGTAACCGGGGGAGGAATGACTCCTTTGAAAGAATCCAGGGTGCAGTCTGCTCTTGGGAAGCGCTGCTTCCTTCTGACACGCGGGTTTGAGAGCGCAGCAGAGTCCGGCCTTCCTGGAAGTCAGGGCTGGAGGTCCAGATTGGGAAGGTCAAGGCACTGGGACCCACTGAGGTCACCTAGAAGAGCAGAGGAGGCTAGTGTAGAGGAGCCTAGGCAGAGCTGGCCAGGCGCTCAGTAGTGGAGCAGCATTGGCACTGGCCAGGCCACCCAAGGCAGGGGTGGGCGGGGAGGGGGTGGTCGAGAAGGAGCTGGGCCCTGTGCTGTGGCTGGAGTCTAGTGGCAGGGCGTTGCTCCCTGCCATGGGCAGTGACAGAAGGGGCAAGTCCACTGCCCCAGAAGAGAAGGGGACAGACAGGAAGAGGGCCTGCAGGTGTGGGCGGGACAGGAGTTGCCTGTGACTGACTCAGAGCGCAGAGCACAGTGGGGGAAAGGCTGCTGGTGGGGCTTTCCCCTGTGACCGTCCTCCGCCAGCTGGCCAGGGCGGGTTCAGAAAGCCCTCCGCTGCTGGGGCTGGCACGCCCACTCCTTGCAGGTGTCAGCGCAGCCCACAGCCACTGGGCCGAAGCTCCGGGCGCCCCCATCCCTAGCCGGTGGTTCTGACCCCCATCTGCTCCTCCCTGGAGACTTCACGGGCACCAGGCCTGAGCATGGCTCTGCAGCTGCAGGTGAGTAGCTGGGCTTGCAGTGTGGTGTGGTGGCTCCTGCACCCTCAGGGAGAAGATGGTGACATTCCAGTTCATTCTGCTGCCCCAGGACAAGCGGAGCTTGAGGCTGAGCTGGAGGGGATTCAGCAGCAGTTACAGCGCTACCAGAGCACCAAGTACAACCTGTGGTGAGGCCTGGCGGGGGCCTGGGACCTGTGCGCAGGAGGTTCCGCTTCCACTTCCGCCCTGTGTGGTCACAGCAGCCCTCACTCCTGCTTAGGAGGCCCATGTTAGCCTCACCTGGGGAGCATCACCAACACAGCTGTCCCGATTGGCAGCTCTGCGCAGGGGAAGAGGCTTGTCTGGAGGCTTTTCCCCCAGGGCCACCTGAGTTGCTGTGTGCCGGGGAGGGTGGGGGCGGCAGGGAGAGGAACACTGTGGAGCTACCAAGCCGGGGCAGCTCCAGGAGGCCCTTCCAGTCCGTTCTCTCCACCCCGACCCTGCATCCAACTGGCTTATATGCTTCTCCAAGCCAGAGTGGCTAGGGCTCCCTGAGGCTCTGCCAAGAGCCCAACCTGGCAGGCAGCAGGTGTCCCCATCATCTCCAGGTCCTGCCAGCGACAAGCCAGCAGCCTGCGTAGATGGCTGGAGCTGAGCCAGGAGGAGCCCAGGCCTGAGGACCAGGATGCCGAGCAGCAGGTGCAGAAAGAACTGGACGAGGTGAGGCCCAGGCCAGACCCAGGGATCAAGCCTCCCCACCCCCACCCGCTTCCTCTCACTTGGCCTGCCCCTCCCCTACCCCAGGTGGAACTGCAGATCCAGCGGCTCGCACAGGACCTCCAGGCCCAGCGCCAGCCCGTTCGGGCCTGCATCACCTGCGTCCAGGCCCTGCGGCGGCTCTGTGCTGACCGGGGCGCCAAGGCGGACAGGCAGCCTTCGGGCCGCCGCCGAGATCAGAACACAAAACTACCATGAGTTGTATTTTTTATTTCAAAATGTCTTGCAAGTAAACGAATTACAGTTCTGCAGTCTCCCACTTTTCATACGAAATACTGTGCTACTGATACAGTTGAGGAAGTTCAATGACTTCTCCCGCAGGAGAAATTCACAGCATGAAACCTGGTCCTGCGCCCCTACTTCCCCTGGGCCGGCCTCCCGCTTCACTCGCCCTCAGCACGTGGGTCAGCTAGTGCTCTCGCCTGCCATGAGGACTGCCAGCTCTGGAAGGCCACTCTTCAGGCCCTGCAGTGGTCCCTGTCATTAGTCACCATCCCCAGAAGACGCTAGCGAAGCCCAGGGCCATACGTTCAGCCACAAATGTTAAGTTTTCGCTTTTCCAACCGACGGGGAGGTGAATTTGGGAACAGAAAGTGGCTGTCATGGTTGTGTGGCCTGCTCTACAGTCCGTGCCAAGAGACACCTCACCCTGTGTGTCGTGCGGGGAGGCAGGGGCGCGAGGCCAGAAAAATTAGAAAGGGCGACAGCGAATGGTCCAGCAACGGGGTGGCCAGAGGCCGTGTCGCGTCATGTCGCATCAGCACTTGCCACCTTCAAAGAATACCAGACCAATCTACAGGGCTTGGGGGGTCTCCAGTTTATAAAAATATCCAAAAGCGATTCTGAGGCCACCCTGCCTGTCCCTGGGCTCTTTCTCAAAGGGTGAGATGGAGCCAGAACGCCCATCTGCACCGCTGCAGGCGGGAGCGGTCACGGCCTCCCCCGGGCAGCCCCGGGCTCCTCTAGCCCCCGCGATCCTGCCTCCTGCATGGAGACTTCGGCCGCAGCCCGGAGGCCTAGAGGGAGCCCAGTGCCTCCCCGAAGCGGATCTTCTGCCCCGGCTTCAGCCTGAACTTGAAGTCCTGGGGTGCCTCGAAGATGAGCACGATGGTGGAGCCCAGGTTGAACTCGCCCAGGTGCTCGCCCTTGCGCATGGGGACACCCTCTTTGTTGGCAAGTGTCACAAAGCTGAAGTCGTTGTAGGAGCCCTTGCTGTACCTCGGGCTGTTCGTATGCAGGTCCTGGGGGGGGGGGGGAGGCACACATCAAGAGGACTGCAGTTTCACCCCCACCTGGGTTTGCAGTGTTGCCCGTCCCCCAGCACCACCCAGTCCAACGCAGGGACAGTGTAGGGGTGGGGGCAGCTTCTCTGAGATCACAGCAACAGTCCCAATTCCTGTGTGACCTGGGCCCAGGAGGGACGTGGGGAACTCAGTCCCCACTGTCTTCCCAGCGTGAATGGTGCAAGGCCCAGCACTGGCAGCTGTCACAGACTGACACTCAAAAAGCCAGCCAGCACAGCTGGCCCCAGATTCAATTCCTGTCCCCTCCTCACTCACCTTTAACTATGACTCCTGGCAGAAGGCAAGTGCCAGGCTGGAAGGCTAATCCCCTCATCCGTCCCAGCCACCTGCAGAGCTGAGTGGCAGCAAAGCAGGCGGGAGGGGGAGGGGCCAAGCAGGCAGGGGCGTCCCTCAGGACGGCTGCTGGGCACAGGCCCAATGGCTGGCTGCATAGCAGAGAGGGCGGTGGACCCAAGAGTCCGACTTGAGGGCTCCGACAGGGTGGGCTCTGCTCACCTGGTCAAAGTAGATCCGAATGGAGCCCACGTTGGTGGCCCCCACAGCCGTCAGTGAGAAGAAGCCATGTTTCCAGTCCCCTGTCAGGACCACTCGCTCGTTGTGGCAGAAGAGTTCTTTGATCCAGCGGGCCATGCCAGGGTTCACTGACATCAGGGAGCCTGTGGGGACAAGAAACGTGCTACTCCCTGCCTGAGACCTGGTCTGTCCACTCCAGGACAGCCCATGACCCAGAGGGACTCACAGCCCAGTTCCATTCCAGGTGCAGAACAGGTTTTCGAGCTCCCCCGCCCTACCCTCAACCAGTCCAAGGCGGTCAACTCCTGGCCTTGGGGATCCCAGCTTGGGGCTCAGTCACAACACGAAGGAGGTAACTCCCAGCACAGGACAGGCCTGGGCCTACCGGGGAAGTGGCGCCGGCGGGAGACGGTCCAGTCTGTGGGGGAGTGGAAGCAGTGGTAGTCCCCAGGGGCCAGGTAGATGACACAGTGGTAGAGCTCATTCCCTTCCCGGGTGACCAGCTGGTTTCTGAAGGACTCACAAGAGGAGGCTGTGGGGTGGAGCAGAGAAGACGGCCAGGCTCACACAAGCTCCAGGAGCCACTCAGCCTGAGTGCCCTACAGGCAGCCTGGACACAGCTCTGGGCAAGGCCTGACGCTGCCACCTGCCCCACGCCCTCTTCCTCAGCCTCTGGCATCTCCCCTGCCCACCCAGGGTGAGGCAGTGACCCACCTGGGGGGAAGGGCAGGTCCTCTGCGTTGGTTCGAGGGCCCAGGAAGGACTCCAGGGAGTAGGTGACCCCCTTTACCTGCTCCACCTCACAGTTCTTCACCTGCCCAAAGTTGAGGATCTTCCCATCTGATGGGCTGATCTGAGGGAACAGGAGGGCTTGCTGCCAGGGAGGGGCGGTGCCCCCATCACCAAGCAGCCAGAGCCCCGCCCCTGGGGACGCTGTTGGAGCAGATGGGGCACCGCCGGGAGAACTGTCCACAGGGGCCAGGGGCTGACTCCCGACACCCAACAGGAACCGTTTCCTGAAGAAGGAACGCGCTAAGGGCGGCGGGCCTCACCACGCTGTGCAGGCCGCAGACGGGCCGGGCCTGTGGCTTCAGCTTGCGCCGGAAGAACTCGCTGAGGTTCCGGTAGTGGTGCAGGTCCTCCACCGCGGCCTCCTTCATGTTCACCCCGAAAGTCCAGATGTACAGGCTGTAGACAGGCCTGCGCAGCCAGTGCGGCAGCTCCACCTGGTTGAGACGGCCCCAGGCCCGTGACAGCAAACGCGTCGGCACCGACTTATACAGTGCCACCTGCAAGGCACAGGACTGAGTTGGCCCCGCTGCCCCAGCTGCTAGAGCCCAAGCACGGCCGTCAGCCCACCCCACCACAGGAGGGACCCTGACCCCAGGGAGGCCTCGCTGGCCCAGGCTGGTTTTGTGATGTGGCTGTGTCTCACGAGGAAGCAGACTGCACTTCCCAAATACGCTCTCAGGCCTGGATGCACACAGCTCAGGTTTACCATTTCAGGCAAAAAGCAAAGAAAACTGCCCTGGCCCAAGGGAGTAAGCAGCCACGGCCTCACTTGTTGAAAACGGGAGGTGGGGGCAGAAATGGACCTAGTGTGAGCCCGAGACTGCGGCAGGTGTGGGTATGCCGTCCACATCCCAGACCGCTCGAGAAAGCACGGAAGTGCCCTGTCGTCTGAACAGGAAGCACTTCCACACAGGGAGCCGCTTCCTCTTAGGGCATCTTAGGCCCTGGCGGGTCTAGCAGCATTCAGAGCCCGGCCTGCTGGGCTGCACCTGCCCCACTCAGGCCTTGTGTTCAGAAGCCTTCTGTGCCTCAGCTGACCCGTGAATGTGCCTGCACCCGAGGCTGTCCTCAGAGCTGGCTGTCCTATGGAGCCCCTGCTGTCCCTCCAGCCTGGAGTACCCAAGGTCAACAGCCCTTAAATAGCAGGTGCCACTGCCCTGCTAGGAAGCGCCTCTGACTTGTGTTGCTGTGTCACTTCACAGCTTGTAACACCTCTTCAAGGTACTGAGTGAGTGGCTCTGTTTCTGGCTGAGGCCCAGCCACTGGAGTGGCCCAGGGCTGCCAAGTGCTCAGGCACAGGCTGGACCTGGCATCTTAGTGCCCTTGTGCTCGCGGTGCCCGCTCGGCTTCCTCCCTGCAGCTGGCCTGCTAAAAGCTGAGAGCAAGAGAACCGTCCAGAGAGGGACTCACTAGCCAGGTCCTGCCTGGACAGCCATCTGGACAGCCCCCAGGTCCACAAGCGTGTCCTCAGACTGGTCTTTGTCTTCCAACTACCCTCTGCCGTCCAGGAATTTATCTGAGTTCTTAAAATTGCCTCTAAGCTCTCTTCTGAACACAGAAAGTCAAAGAGAGACACCATTTTCTGACTGCTCACTTCTTTCCACAACCAGAGCCCCCAGTGGCCCTAGTGAGGCAGTGCACAGTCACTTTTCTGCAGCCCACACCACCACCAACTAACCTGGCCTTCTCTTCTCAGCCAATGCCCTGGCCTGCCCAACCAATGACCTTCCCATATTGAGCCACCGGCAGGTGCAGCCACCACCTCTGACAGCCCATAGCACCCGGGCTGCCCAGCCTTCAAGCACTTACCCTGCTCACAGGCCTCCATCCCACCCGGCTGAGTGGCCTGAGGGCGCCGAAGGGCAAGAGGTAGTAGAGAAAGGTCAGGGGCCAGGAGCGCAGTTTCAGTGCTGGCCTGGACATGCAGCTCAGCTGGCCCAGCCTCCGCCGTAGGGCCAGCTGGGGGAAGTGCAACCTGCAGGACACATGTCCGCAAGGCCAAGGTCAGTACCCGGGTCTCCAAAGGACCCAGGAGCACCCTCTCTTGGCCACTGCCATTCCTGTCCCACCCTCAGCAAGCTGCCTCTCCAGGGCAGCGCAGAAGTCCACAGCACTGCCGTGCTCCCTCCCCACACTGGTTCTAAGTCAGAGGCTAGGCTGCCTGACAGACGCTTCCCAGTCTCGCCCACCTGCTGAGGCTGAGGGGGTCTGGGAATGGGGCAGCAGGACGGAGGAGGGTCAGGCCCATTTCTAGGCACCTCTCAGAGGGAGTGGCTTCTGAGCATGGCAGTGGCCCCAGTGAGGGTGAAGAATGGGACAAGTGGGCTGGAGGGCCTGTCTTGCACCCCCAGCTTCCCACAATCAGAGAGGGTGGGGGCCAGGGACAGCTCTGCCTGCCCAGGCATCAGGGAGACTGAGTCATCAGCACTATGACCTGGTCGGCTAGGGAACCCTGCTGAGTCTTTCACTGTCATGCCTCTTGCTGCCTTATCTACTCAAGTAAAGGACTGGACGACACAGAATCCATGGAGAAGGAACTGCGTACATGTGCGTGTCCACACATGCGTGCACGCACCTGTAATGCTGCAGCTCTGCCACCTGCACAGTCCGTCCTCTACAGCAGGCCAGGCCCCCCAAAACCCATCCGCGGGTGTGGGGAGAACCTCCCCCAGCTCTCAGGCCCCTCCCCGCTCCAGCAGCTTCACGAATCTACAGCACTGTGGGCTCCTGACCACAATGAAGTCCCTGTCACATGCCCAGACATCCACGCAGCCTCAGAAGGCCACACTGCACCTACTGAGACTGTCCCCAGGCCAAGTTTCCTCATCCGCAGAATGACCACATGGGGCTGTGTGCTCTTAAGAGAAGTGAGTCCTCAGTCTCCCAGGTGCCGAGCAAACCAAGGAACAAAGGGCACCCGACCAGAGGCGAGAGGGGCCAGCGGCAGCCCACGACCCCTTAGTGACAGGTAGCAGCACTCTCAGCTCCAGGCGGCTGCCTCCCCACTGCGTGCTTCCTTCCCTCTCACCCTGCCATTCTGTCTTTAAAAGGCCCGGGGAGGTGGCAGGGGGAAGCAAAGACAAATCACTGCTGTCCTGCAGGATTCCCCGCCCTGCTCACTGCAGAAGAGCAGAGACCAATCGGAGGAGCGGCAGGGAAGCCCCTCTCCCAGGTGCCAGGGGCAGGAGTAGGGGGAGGGTACCTAGTTGCCCATCCTGAGGACCAAGGCCGTAGGGCGGAGGCCAAGGGCGGCCTCCCCCCTTCCCACTGGGATCCGCAGGTACCTGAAGCGGGCTCTCCTACTCAGGTCCCCCCCCCCCGCCCGGTGGCCCTCCAGCCGCGGGGGCTCACCCCGTGTCCTCTGGCTGCCACCTCCACTGGAGGGCCACCAGACATGAACTCTGACCTTCCTGAGGTTGTGGCGGGGCACAGCAGGGTTAGGGTTAGGACGCAGCGGGCAGCATCTCACCATTTCGCTGCTGCTTGCAGCTCTGGTCCTCGCCGTGCCTCTGACTGACACATCGTGGGCAGGCACAGGGAGGGCGGCGCAAGGCTCTGCACGCTTGCTTGCCTTTGTTTTTTCTCCTTCCTCCCCTTCCCCCGCGCCAGCGCCAGAGGATCTCCTGCGCCGTCACTGCTCCAGGGGCGCTGCTGGCGCTTCCAGCCTCCGCTCACAGGACACGGGTTAGAGGGTCAGGGCTATTGCAGACAGACAGGTACTGGTCACACCTGCTCAGTTCTCTTGCTCAGGTCACCAATCAGGCTTGAAGTCGGGCAGAAGCCCCTGCACTTGGCTTGCTCTGTCCCCCTGGCTTGAGTACCTGTCTGGATCACCCACTCCCTTTCGCCCGGCTGGGCATGCAGCAGGTGGGGGAGGTCCTGGGGTGTGCACCCCAGCCAGCCGTGTTAGGGATGGGTCCAGACCCTGCTGGGGCTTCCAGGCGCCACTGGGTTCCAAGAGCACGAGGTGGGAATCTGAGCCTTGTGCTCCAGGCCGGGGCCCCTCCCTCACAGGGCCCTGACCCATTTTCAATTCAGGTTACAAAGTAGCATTTGAGGAATGAGAGGGGTGGGCAGTCAGGCAAGTGAGGCCCAGCAGCATGAACCAGGGTGTCAAGTCTACAGCTCCCTCCTTCTTCCCCCTGGTCCTGGGGTCCCCAGTACCTGGCTCTGACCCCTCCAGGCCTCTTCAAAAGCTGTGTGCCTGCAGCTGGGATGTGGCCAGGACTGAAGCCCAAACCATTCCACCCTGTTCTGTCCATCTTTCCTTCAGAAAGGCACTTTGGCGCCTGAGGATATGGGTCAAAGGGTAGAGTGACTATCTAGCAAGCCTAATGCCCTGAGTTCAAACCTCATTATGGCAAAAAAAAAAAAAAAAAAAAAAGAAAGGTACTTTGGCTTGGCCCCACTCAGGCTATCTGCAGGCCCTGCCTGGCTCACCTGCTCGCTCACCCTCTCACCCTGACAAAGCCTTCCCATTGCACAGACAACAGGGAGAGAAGAGCAAACATTCCACACTGTTGCCATCTCAACCCAGGGAAAGCAGAGCAGTCAAGGCCTTCAAGGTCCCTGGGAGGAGGCGGCCTGACCTGGGCTGAGGGAGCCTGCTCCACTTGGCCTCCAGTCTCAACCACAGCCCTTAGAAGGGGGCAGCACCCGAGAGCTGCTGCCTAAGGCAGAGAACAGATCCAGGCAAGGACCACAGGGTATGGTCAACACACAGAGCAAGAAGCCCCAAGTCAGATATCACTCTCCATATAAGGATGAATGTGTGCAAACCCACCTCAGTTATGGAGATGAAAACCCACCTCAGCACCTGCTGCAAGAGCCATTGACTCTCAGGTACACTAGTGGCCTCTGAGAGCCAGGACAAGGCAACCAAGGCCTGGACCTGAGTAAGCACAGACTTTTCCCTGACCGAGGAAATGGTGAGGCTTGGCTCACTCGAGACCCTTCCAGCAAGCTTGTGTCCCCAGGACCCTCTTCTGAGTGGCAGGGACAGCTCACTGTGGAGTGGGCCCAGTGGGAGCAAACCCACCCACTGAGCCTCACCCAGCAACAGATGTGTGAGAACCTCCTCCCTCAGCACCAGGAGATCAGCAGACAGGGAGCCCTGCCTGGGCCAGGCCCAGGGCTCCATGGCTGCGGCTTCTGCCTCAGGCTCATGCGAGCCTCCCACTAACACTTCCATCCATCTAGACTCCGATCATTCCACGCAGCGCTCACACCCACCCTCTGCAATGGCCAGGGGAACAGGCCCAGGGGGACGATGGGCAGTGGCAAGCTGTTATCGAGCTCTACAGGGCTCTTTCTCTGCTCTGTCAAGCGCAGGCGAGGAGTTCATTGCTGGCTCACCCCCAAGACTCCTAGGGAGGCAAGCATGGCCTTGTGGGATGGGGGTGGGGGGAATGCAAGCGTCCCGGCCTCCTGCCAAGTTTTTCGTACTGTCCTACCTAGTGGGACACTAACTACAGCAGCCTGGAACATGTCAAAAAGGTGTCAGCCCACAAACCCAGCTTGGCCCAAACCTGCGGGAACAATCCATTTCATCCTCCCACAACACCTTGAGGGCCCCATCAGGCCTCCTTGCCACAGCCAGACAGGCCTACCCAGACCCGGCTGCTCCTCCCTGCAGAGACGCTACGCTACATACTGCCCTGTGGGGGCACTCAACATGTCCTTGCCAGCAGTGAGAGCAGGGATGGCAGGAGGTCATTGTCTTTGATCACTGTTCTCTCCTAAAATGGGACACGAGACAAGGGTGTCAGACTTCCCCAGCAAACAGCATAGTTTGGTACCAAAAGGTGCTCAGGGAGCAGAACAAACTTATCTGTGCCCCAGGAACCAGCCCAGAACTGCAGGATGGAGGGAAGAGAACCCTGGAAGTCACTATTGTCTCACCTCCCAAGGCAGAGTGACTTCTTGGCCAGCAGTGCTTCCAGCCTCCCCATTCCAGAGCTGCCTCCCACCCCTGCCTCCACTGAGGCACCAAGGCCCGAGGTGCTAACACCTCCCCCTTCTAAGAGGCAAGCACATGAAGTGTAGGTGAGTTCTGGACTGTGACCAGCAGGACTTTAAAGCTATTATGTGGCCTAAGGGTCAGTCACCTGGAACATGAGAACTCAGAGGGCTTTGTGGTGGGTGACAATCTGGTCTGGGTAACTTGGCTGCCCACCCCCACCCTGAGAGCTGGACAAGTCACAGGTGCTCTCTGGACCTCAAGTTTCTTCACCTGGGAAATTGGAAGGGAGATTTCTCCTGCTCACTTCCCTTGAGGCTCAGAGCATAGCTGCAACCAAAGCCCTGCTCAGAAACCCTCACTTCCACCTCAGAGACCCCACTCCTTTTCCTACAAGCAGCCCATACACTGAGAGGGCAGAGAAGGGAAAACAGAAGTTCAGGCAGCAGCTCTGAAGGGCACTGGAAGCAAGGGCTGATGGACCACATGGGGGCAGCTCCATTAGGGCATGCTTTTCTGGGGCTCGCACACAGGTCCTCATCTGCCCCACACTGCCCCCCATGGAATGGAACATTCCAACTGTAGCTCATGAACAGAAGTGGCCAGTCAGCAGTCACTGTGGGCGTGGGCAGGTGTGGGAGTGTCAGGTGGGCATGGGGTAGAGGTGGGCATGCGGTGTGCACTGTGAATTGGGTAGGGCAGGTGGAGGGCGTGGGCTGCAGCGCTTCCAGCTGCTTGCCTGGTAAGCTTGGACCTGTGCATTCCAGTCTGAGCTTAAGGATATGGAAGGGCAGGCAGTGAGGGGGACAGGCCTGCCAGGCCACCTCCCCAACAAGCACTCCCTGGCCACACAGGGCCTGGCACTGTGTGTGGGGGTCCAACGAGAAACCCCGAGAATTGGCTCTGCCCAGATCACCAGCCCACCGCCCACTGTGGCTCACTTCACCACTCACAGGACTGCGGTGCTTCCTTCCCACTCACCTGAGGCAGGGCCACCTGTCCAGTGGGGTGACCAAACCCTCATGCCCCACGCTGCAGGGCTAGCAGGGGACAGGAAAATGGACTCTCCCCGGGGAAAATGGGTGAGTCATCTGAGAAGTGATGGACAAGGGAACAGGGAGAAAGATAAGGGCCAGTGGTCATCCCAGTCAGTGGCCCAGGGAGCTCAGAGAAGGGGAGGAGGGACAAAGACATAGACCAGGTATTCCTCAGTGTCCCAAAGAAAAGGAAACTTTGGACAAACTCTGGTGCCTGTGTCCCACAGCAACGAGGCTGTGTTACCTGCTGCCTGGGGTGCTTCCCCTCTGGCCTGCAGCACAGAGGAAATACGCACTGCACTTCCTCACTTCCCGCCAGCCACTGCCACCGCCCACCCCAGAGCAGAGATGCTACAGGACGTGGAGGAAGTGAGCTCAGGCACCGGCCCGTGACTGTCTGGGGAAAGGAGAAGGCCACAACTCCGTCAAGCCAGTTCAGATGGGCTCCTCAGGCCCGCGGGGGGGCGGGGAGTGTTCCTCAGGGTCCCAGGGTTCCATGTTTCCAGCAGCCAAAGAGCCAACCCACAGCCCGAAAGTGCTAGAAGGGCACTCCCACCCTATAGAAAGCAGTCCTCTGACTTGCCTTGCTTTCCAGGAGAACAGGCAGCCCTCTGAGAAGCCGCTGGCTGCTGCAGATCACCTGTGGCTCCTGTGGGCTCACTCACCAGCAGGTGGGTGCCACTAGGGTTGTGGCCTCCAATGTCTTCTGCTCAAGCTGGGAGGCCTCAGGGAGGGCGGGGCTCGGGTTCCAGCCACTGGGGCCGCCGGCGGTGGGGGCAGGAGGAGCAACACCAGCCACGTTAAAGGGGCCGCTCCCTCTGAGCTGCAGCCAGGCCAGGGAGTCCCGAGGGCCCCTTTAAGAGGAGTGGCCCAGTCTCAGGTCCTGGTCACAGAGCTGCTCCCACACCTAGAGCTAGGTGGGGCCAACTGCCCCAGGATGCCTCCAGGGACTGGAAGACCTATCCCTTAGCTCCTGGCCGGCTGCCTCCCTCACGGCCACCCCAAGCCACCCGGTAGGGGCCCCATGTGCTGCTGACCTCATGGAGGACTGGCTTCCAAGTGGACTAAGCTTTAGAGAGCAACCCTTTCTCACCCTGGAAACCTGGCAGAGGCGAAGTCCTTACTTCTTCCCAGTCATGAAGACAATGGCTGCTGGCACTCCCCCCGAGCACAAACGCCCAGACCCAAGAAGGGAGGCAGCCCACCCACTGGCAGCCTTGCTCTCTGCTGGGCTGAAGAGTCTGTGCGACATGTCCTACCTGACAGGATGGGAGGGTTCCAGCCTGTGGGGTCAGCAGACCACCCCAGGCCCACAGCACTCAGCCAAGGTGGGTGGCGGAAGCAGCTAGCACTGCTGGGGGTGAGAGCATGGGTGCGCAGCCAGCAGGAGGTTAAGTGGTCAGAAGGCTAGGCTCTTCACACTGACCTACTGATACTAGGGTACAACTTCTAAACCACTTCTAAACCAACTACCCTCGTGAACGGGGCTCTAGAGAGACACAAAGGGTGGGGCCAAAGCAGCCTGGACACACAGACACAGTGCAGACAGCTCACATGGCTGCGGGAGGGGAAGAGATGCAGGGGGCCACCCTCAGGGACTTCCAAGATACTCTGCACCCTACAATGCACCCGTGGGAATGGGGGGGCAAGGTTCAAGGTACAGCCCCAGACCAAAGGGGCCTCAACTTCTGGTAGGGCTGGGACCCCTTATGCACAGGCTGCTCCTCACACTCTCCTGGCCTGAGGCCACAGCAGACACCACCAGTTGATCCCAGATTTCTCTGAGCCCCAGTGAGACTTCAGACATGTCACCTCAGAGCTCCAGGCAAACCCCTCCATGAGATGGGACAGAAAGGAATTAAGCAAGCTGGTGGAGTGGCTCAAGTGGTGGAGTGCCTAGCAAGCATGAGGCCCAGAGTTCAAACCCCAGTACCAGTACCACACATACAAAAAAAAAAAAAAAAAGGAATTAAGCCCAGAAAGATGCCAACATGGAATCCTGGCACACCAAACTCTAGACTTGGAAAGATCCCAGAAGACTTCCCAAAGCCTCCAGGACTCGTGGACCAGGTGTTTGGGGTCCCGAGTACATAAGGAGCCTCCCGGTTCGGCGCACACTGCCTTTCACTGGCTGAGTGATCTCTGTTAATGCGCACACACTAGCCTGGACAACGGCCACCTGGGCTGCATGGTGCCCACCAGGGTTCCTTTTCAACCACTCTAAACCTCTATGGTGTTTAGAAAACGCACAAACCTCCAAGGAGGTAGGAAAAGCCTTAGTCCTTAATTTCCACTCCTGCCATCTACCTGGGACTCCTGAGTGGAACTGTCACCTAGTGTCACTGGGAG